ACCTGTAAGTCATTTCAAGGGCTCTTCCATGTTATAAAGATTGAGAAAGGCTGCTCTATAGTATTCCCATTTGCTATTGCCATGGCATCTACATAAAAGCTTAGAAGAGAAGGGAGAGGTGGAGAAGCTGGGTCAGCACAGAGAGTAGTTAGACACTCCCAGAAAAATTGAGGGCTATGGTGGGCAAGGACGGAGGAAGTAGTCATATTTTCTAGCAAATTCAAAGACACATTGCAAATAGATGCAAAGATCATTTATGGAAAGGAAAAACACTGCCAGTCACTATTTAACATACTCGATTTTACTGCACTTTCACCTGCAATTTTTAAGTGACAGTTTCTTTAAAGGGAATATTGTTAGCATGCAATTGGCATTATAATTGTAAAGTTATTTTAGCAGTATTTTTATTTGATCACATTTACATGTTTGCTATTCTACGTTTTCATTAAGGCTCATCATATCCACATTTCCTTATTCTCTAAAGATCTTTCTAGTTGTAGATGTGGTCAGCATAACTGCTAATCTAAGACTAAATCTTAGCAGACTTGCACTGAGTTGGTTAAACTTTAAAAAACATAATGACTGTTTCATACTGTACCACAGTACCACCAAAAATGCCAACCTCCTAATGAACCTGTCAAGTTCTGTGGTACACTGTTCCATAATACTTGAGAGGTCTATCAGGAGGTTGGCATATGCATATTGGATTTGAAACAAGTGTATTTAAAACCGTAAGAGAATTCAAAACAGTTTTCATTGTTAACATAGAAAAGGGGTTAATTTTCTTCATTGTGTGAAAAGGCTGTTTGATCCTGTCCTCTCTGATCCTCCCCTTAACCCACAGTCTAAAATTCATCTGCTGATAGTACAGATCCCTAGGAGTCACTTGGCACATGCTCAGTTTAGTGTGCATTTCTAGAGAGTTTTTTTGCATGTGATCAGCATAAGGCCAATCAGCACTTTCCAGACAGAGGGCCAGGGGTGATACAGCCTCATAGGACAGTCAAAGGAGAACAAAAACTAGTCATACAAGCTTTAAAAAGTGCTCGGCTGATAGAAGTCACAAGACTGGTATATAATGCTGATGAGAAAAGGTATTTAGCAGCATATATTTACTAAAATAATTGCATTTTCATGTGCTGTGTACTGTGGGAGACCAGATATAGTGAATGTAGGGTCACGGATTTAGCATTTATTTGCTCTTTCACTTTTTTTATATCAGTGCTACATTTCTTTAAAAGTGCTACATTTATAGTCTAAAGCTAGTTTTATGGTATTTTGTATTTAAAATAAGCATTTACTCTTTCTTGCTTACAGTTTTTGTGATTTCTGAGCCATTTACTAAACACTTGAGTACGTTAACATGGTTTCCCATCAAAGCTTGTAATGTAAACATTTAAATTTCAGTTTCCAGACAGCACTTCCATAGAGCCAGTATAACATAACCATTTATCCTTATAGACAAAGAATGCTTTCAGAAATAAGCAGCATTATATTGGAATGAAGGAAAACTGGCGAGGCTTTTAAAATATTTATCATCTGGGCTAGGTCACAGAATCAGCAACAATTTATGAGTGCATTTTCAAAGTAAGCAACCATGACTAAAGGAGTTTTAAAGAACCTTTACAAACTACATGTGATTGAGAACACACTTCACAGTTATTGGATTTGTTCTTTCAGCTTCTGATAAATCATACAAGTGTAGAAATGGAATAAAAAGGAAACAATGAAACATATAAAACCAAGAACTGCATGACCTAGAATAAAGAAAAAGCCCCGAGGGCATGGCATTTAGCTTCATTTATTGTGAGTCACTGACATACAACAAAGTGTGTTAAATGCTCAGATTGACAGGAGCAGAGCATTTATTATTCTATAACCATTATAGGCCAAGATGCATGGCACTGGAAGTAGGCTTGGTCATGGTTGATTAACAAATGTCAAACTCTACGTTAAAAACAGTCTTCTATATTTACTGTATAAAATTTGTGTTGGTCTAACTGCCATTTGAAGAGTAGTATAAGCTTAGCTATGAGCTTAGTTTCAAAACAATTGAGTTTGGGCAATTTTATCGAGCTTTGATGAAAAGCCTTTCTGAAAAGATTTATCAAAAAACCCTATTTCAAAATATTGATCCCCCTCCTCTATCTCAAACTATGTTAGACATGATGGGAACAGAAACTACTACCCCAGAGGTCCTCAGGGCAATCAAATCTCACAAAATGCAAAAAAACTGTGGGTCCTGATGGCTTTTCGGCCTCATACTATAAAAAAAAAATCAGATCTTTTTACTCCCCATCTAAGTAACTTTTAACTTTAACAGTTACATATGCACTTGGATGGACATCCCTCCTCATTTGCAGCCCATATTGTCATCATTCTGAAACCAAGTAAAGACCCATTAGATCCTCACAACTTTCGGCCGATCTCGCTACTAAACGTGGACATCAAAATTCTAGCTAAAATCCTTGTGACCAGAATCAGCATTCTTACCCACCCTATTTATCAAAGATCAGGTGGGCTTCATCTCATGTAGACAGTCGCCTGATAATACTCGCAAAATCATTCACCTAATTCATCTGATGCACCAAAAACAAATCCATGCATGATACTCAAACTAAACATACACAAGGCATTTGACTCCCTCTACTAGGACTATATGTATGGAACCCTGGCTTTTCCCATTTTTGCCTTTGCCTTGTACCACTGACCCTATGCTACTTTTTTCACCAATCTGCACAATTTATGATCCATAGAAGTACATGCCAAGGATGTCCCCTCTCCCTTATCTTGTTCGTATTAGCTTTGGAACCCTTAGCATGCCTCATGTAATCCAGATATTTGACATAGCAATCTGGGACTTAAATCTTTAAAAAAAAAGGCTTGTTTGATGATGATTTACTTTTAACCTTAGTCCAACCGTAACTGGTTTATTCTCCATGCGTAAACACTTTTCCAAAATATCTGTCCTTACTATCAATGAAGAAAAATCTTCAGCCTTTAATATCTCCCTTCTGAATATTACTTTGGCTTTCTTGAGAAAACAATTTAGATTTACTTGGCCCACTTCCCATCTCTATTATCTAGGAAATCATTTCACCCAACTTACCATACCCTTTATGCAGTTAACTATACTTAAGCTTTTCATACTGGTCCCACCATCACCTATTATGGATAGGGAAAATCAATACTATCAAAATGACAATCCTACTGATGCTCCATTACATATTTTGCAACCTCCCAATCCCACCATACACCTTGAAATCTTTTCAGAACCATGTTTTAAGATTTATTTGGCTCAATAAAAACCCACAGATCTGAAAATACACGATCTTTATAAATAAGAGGCAGGGAGGACCTGGAGTCCCAAACTTCACAGCTGCACAAATCACACCATTGATCTCCTTGCATGCCGCACAGCAGTCCCCTCTATGAGCTGACCTGGAGAAATTCTTTTTCCCCTTGCTTACTTCCCTGGATTCCATTAAAATCCAGGCCAGCTTTCATGAGTCCTCTAATGCGGCATACTCTTAATATATGGGACATCACCAAATATTTCAATAAACTAATCTCGCCATATTTACCTTTACCTACCCTTTCTAGGCAACCCATTGTTCTCCCTGGGACTAGACTCTTCTAATAAAACAAATTTAATTTCGTCTACTTTTTTGTTAATGGCCGTACATCTTATACTTTGGTGTAAATTAGAGAAAAACATCATGCTCCATCTTTTGAACTTTTTTGCTTCCTAGAAATTAAACACTGACTTTCCACTGTTTTCACTATTAAAGATCATATGAGCCAATTCTTATTTTTTGAACATATCTGCTGTTACAATCCTTTCTCTTCCAAATTGATATCCTTCATTTAATCACAACTAATTAACTCTAACAATAATGCAAATCACACTTACATTTCCAAGTGGGAAAAAGACCACTGGTGCATTAAGCACTTCCCACCCGGCCACTGTACATAAACATAGTGCTAGAGATGACATACCTGGTATGACCGCATGATCGGTGCTCTGCCTTGGTAACATGTCATCGCTGTGACCAATCACAGTGATCACATGTCCGGTAGTAAAGATGGCTGCCATTGATGTAGCCATTCAGAACTACTGTGAGCTCTGTGATTGGTCACAGTGATCACATGATACAGGACCAGGCACAATCTACCTGTACCTTGTAGCAGCTCTAGTCAATCACAGCTGATCACAGTGTTCTCAGTTGCTGCAGGAATGTAGCTGAGAACTTTCAGAAAGTATTGTTTACACAGCCATCATGGCTGTATAAGCAATCATAATGCAAAAATGAAAAAAACAGAAATACCAATCAACTCTCTAGAGTAGTGCAGTCTTGTTATAGTAACACTATACTGCTCTGCTGATATGGTATAGTAAAAAATTGACAGGGTGTAAAAAATATTGTAAAAAAAAAACAAAACACAAATTATTAATATCTGTATATATATATATATATATATATATACACCGTATTTTCCGGCGTATAAGATGACTTTTTAACCCTTGAAAATCTTCTCAAAAGTCAGGGGTCGTCTTATACGCTGGTATACGGCATGCTGACACTTGGCGTCAGGGCGGCACTTTTTTTTTGGGGGGGGGGCGGTGCCGCCACCGTCCCCCCCCCTTCCAACGGAAGAGACACTAAGTACAGGGGTGGGCAGGGCGCTGCTATTTCTTACCTGGCTCCGGTCCCAGTCCCATGACGATCCAGTCCAGGAAGTGCGGCTGCTCCTTCATTCACTGCGGCCGCTCGATGTTCGAGCGGCCACTCGGCTCCGCCTCCTCACCGGTGATTGGCCGTCAGAACTTTAGCTCAGGAAAGGCACACAGGCGGCCAATCACCAGCGAGGAGGCGGAGCCGAGCGGCCCCACGAAAATCGAGTGAGGGAGCGGCTGGTAAGTGTGCCGTGCAGAGGTGCTGCTGCAACCATGTATGCTGCTGCAGCAGCACCATACTGGAATGGGTCAGCAAGTGTCATTGGTGTCAGTGGGAGGAATAGTGCCCCATCATTGGTGTCACTGGTACTAATTATGGGGCATTATTCCTCCCACTGACATCAACGATGGGGCACTATTCCTCCCCCCACTGACACCAACGATGGGGCACTCTTCCTCCTCCCCACTGACACCAACGATGGGTAACTATTCCTCCCCCCCCACTGACACCAATGATGGGACACTATTCCTCCCCCCCACTGACACCAACAATGGGGCACTATTCCACCCCCCACTGACACCAATGATGGAACACTGTTCCTTCCCCCACTGACACCAATGACGGGGCACTATTCCTCCCACTGACACCAATGACGGGGCACGATTCCTCCCACTGACACCAAAGATGGGGCACTATTCCCCCCACTGATACTAATGATGGGGCACCATTCCTCCCACTGATACCAATGATGGGCCACTATTCCTCCCACTGATACCAATGATGGGCCACTATTCCTCCCACTGATACCAATGATGGGGCACTATTCCTCCCACTGATACCAATGATGGGGTACTATTCCTTCCACTGACACCAATGATGGGGCACTATTTCTCCCACTGACACTGATGGAGTACTAATCCTCCCACTGACACTAATGATGGGACACTATTCCTCACACACTGACACTAATGATGGGGCACCATCATTGGTGTCAGTGGGAGGAATAGTGTCCCATCATTGGTGTCAGTGGGAGGAATTGTGCCCCATCATTTGTGTCAGAGCAAGGAATAGCACCCCATCATTGGAATACCATACTGAAATACCATTTGTTTTTTAATTTTTATTTGGTGTGCGTTGGAAGAGGGGTAGTCTTATACGGCGAGTATAGCCCAAACCCTATATTTTAACAGGAAAAGTAGGGGGTCGTCTTATATGCCCAGCCGTCTTATACGCCAGAAAATATGGTATATATATATATATATATATATATATGTATATTTATTTATTATTATTTTTTTTTTTTTAGGTTTTTGTACAGGCAGTTTGATTCGGTTCTATAAATGTGCAAAGATAATTTTGAGCTAGTTCAAAAGGTTTTCCATAACCCAGCAGCTGACACAAAATTCCAATACTGGAATTTATCAAATGCAACCATAAAACTGTGTAGCACTCAAAAAAAAGTGAATAATCAACAAATACCAGGTGAAAGTATGAATAAACAAAATATGTATCTCACTAAAATTCAACAAAATTAACAATTCATGAGAGTAAATATTTCATGCTCATAAATAAATAAATACAATGTTAATCTATGAAAGTCCTGTCTCCTTGTGAAAATCTTCTATGCAATAACTGGATACTCTTGAAGTGGTGGAATGATGAAATCATGTCAACACATGCAAATGTGTCACCCCACACCTTGCTCATAAAAGGATTACCAGATATGTTTGACCCCCTATTTTACTGAGTAGCCAAAAAAAGCTCAATGGTATCAGAAAACGTCAGTCATAGCTCGCTCCACACCATCAGATATGACGCCTTGAATCTTAGCGTGCTTCATAGAGAACACCCAATCTCGATATATCAGGCATGCAATTGTGACGTATGGGAAGCAAAAAATAAGGTACCAGGTATGAAACAGCACTGTACAAAGAACCTCCCGATCAATCCCCCTCAAAGTCTGATCGGGTCCGCCTGTTGGTTTTTCGGGTGGACCCGGTCAAACCCTAGATTTTCCTCTATGGTATGGCTGGTGTAAACGGACATGGCCAGGCAAATTGAATTGGGCGGCAGTCAGGTGTAAACGGACAGGTGGTCCATTTACATCCGACCACCCATAGAGGAGAGCAGGCTGTGTATGTGTCTGCTCTGCATAAACAGAGCAGACACGGACCTGTCAGCCATCTGTTCAGTAGGGATCAGTGGACTGAATCCCAGCTGAGCAAGCAGATCACAGGCGTCCACCTCATGTGAAAGGGGCCTTACACTATGGTGACATCGTGCCGCATCAATCTTTGTCCCAAATCACCGCCACCCTCTCAGTGTGCCTGTTCGCTGCCATACCAATCATATTTTCCCTAATCAGTGCAACACCAGTGTCCTTTGGTCACCACCACACCAGTTTCAGTGTCACTACACCAGTGTAAGCCAGCAACGGTGTTCCTGATTGTCACCACACCAGTCCCAGTGTCACCTGACCAGTATAAGTCAGCATCAATGTTCCTGATTGCTGCCACACTATTCTCCAGTGTCACCAGACCAGTGCAGCCAGCAACAATGTTCCTGATCACCGCCACACCAGTGCAGTGTTTTCTGTGCCTGCCCCCTGTTACGACCTTGGCCTGTTTATTGACCACATTTCTGCCTAATGCCTGGACTTATCATTTGCTTGTTTGCTGACTATGTCTCTGCCTGTGTCCTGAACTGACCCATCTGCATGTCAGACTGTCTATGTTCCTGCGTGGAGTCCCAGCCATCTCCTGGGACTGCTATAGATGATGATACACTTTGCTATAATCTTTGACCACTCATATAGAGGTGACCATTACAGTACATTGGTTTTTATACAATTAGTTGATTTGCATGATACACTAGATACAATTTCCAGTATATAATCAGCCCAGACAGTGAAAAAGTCTCACACATGTGGTATCAACACACTCAGAAGAAGTAGCAGAATGTGTTTGAGAGTGTAATTTTAGGTGTGCCCATGCTGTGAGTGAGAAATATCTTAATAAATTAACAACTTTATTTAAAAAGTTAATTTTTATTTTCTTTCTGCATTTTCCAAATATTTGTGTCAAAAAATAAAGTCTTCAAAAGACTTATCATGCCTCCTAAAAAATACTTTAAAGTGTTTGCTTTCCAAAATGTGTGTTTTTTGGGTGTTTCTGTTCTCCTGGTTCTCCATTGCAGGTAGTCAGGAAATTAGTATATATAATTTATCCCCATAGAATTCCTGGAGGTACGCAATAGATTTTGGGCTCCTCTATGTGGCTAGGCCATGAAAAAGTCTCACGTGTTAACGCCCCTACAAGGGAGCAGTAGCAGAATGTATTTTGGGGTGTAATTCTAAGTATGCCTATGCTGTGTGTTAGGAATATCTGATTAATTGACAAAATTTGTGCAGAAAAAATTCTCATTGTCTTTCTTGCATTTTCCAAAAATGTTTGGCAAAATAATAACTCACTATGCCTTTCATAAAATACTTGGAAGTGCTTGCTTTCCAAAACGTTTCCATTGTCCTCGTGATCCAAGGCCTCCAAAAATGTGACAGGTACTCAGGAAATTAGATGCTTAATTTATCTCCTTGAAAGCCCAAACATGCTCCTTGGATTTTGGGCCCCTTTGTGCTTCTTAGCTGTAAAAAAGTCTTAAACATGTGGCATCCCCATACTCAGGGAACATTATAGAATGCTTTTTTGGGGTTCAATTATAAGTATTCATATGCTGTGTGTGAAAAATAACTTGTTAAAATGACAATGACAACTGAAAAAAAATAAATTTTATTTAACTTCGTATCTTTCCAAAAAATTGTGACAAAAAATATTACAACCTAAAATAACTCATCACGCTGCTTACTAAATATCTTTGTTTACTTTCCAAAATTCATTTGGGGGGTATTTGTACTGTCCTGGAATTTTACGGCCTTATGAAATGAGATAGGCAGTCAGTACATCAGTTATGATCAATTTTCTAATATATATATACCATAGTTTGTAGACTCTATAACTTTCACACAGGCTATATATTATACAGTGATTTGGGTTATTTTTACCAAAGAAGTGTAGCAGAATACATTTTGGCCTAAGTTTTTGAAGAAAGAATATTTATTTGTAAACTTATAACAGAAACTGAAAAAAAGGGTTTTTTTCAACATTTTTGGTATTTTTAGGCTTATATTGCAAAAATAAAAAACCCAGTGGTGAATAAATACCACCAAAAGAAAGCTCAATTTATCTAAAAAAAATTATAAAAATGTAATTTTGGTACAATGTTGCATGACTGAGTAATTATCATTCAAAGTGTGACAGCGCTGAAAGCTGAAAACTGGCCTGGGAATGAAAGGAGTGAAAGTGTCCAGTGCTGAGGTGGTTAAATATAGAAAAGATTGTCTACAAAGTTGGTCTACAATGGTTTCCTGTTATATTAATGTAAAAAACACAACTGAATCTGCATTCAAGACCATTATAAGGTGGTGCCCGGTTCCGTCCTGATTAGGGCACATTCATCCATCTCTTCCTGGTATATGCTTTTGTGGCTGTTTCACCCCGGGAGACATTTTACACATATGCTGGACCTGTCCCGTGCTGGCAAGGGTCTGGACCAAGGTTCTCAATCTCCAGCAGTCTCTGTTTAATTGCCTTTTATCAAGAGACGCTAAGCTTTTTCTACTACATCTTAAAGTCCAAGTTATTACCAAGTCCAAATTCAAATTTGCGATCTATGTTCTGTTAGTGGCAAAACAGACTATTGCGAAAGCTTGGAACGAGATGACTACTTACTGCATTCTTTTAGACAAACATTAGAAATCCTTAAGGTCTGCACTCTGTGGATTCAGTATGTTCATCCTTCAATACCCACAGCAAGTTAAGCTTCTCTGTAGTGGCTGGACCTTAAGGCCCTGGTTTGGGTGTCCTTGAAGTCCTCTTTCCCCTCACTTTTCCTCTCCTCTATCTTCCCACTTTTTTACTCTTCTCTAACACTGCCTTCCAGCTATGGAGATACCTTTACTTATTTTATGTTTTCATCTTGACATTAACTCTACTATCCACTTGGTCTTGGCACCACATCCTGGGCAGCATCTGGCTAGCCACTAAATCCCCTAGCAGTTAGCTACTGATTACCTTTTAATACATACTTACTAATCTGAATATATACAGATTTTTATTATGCTTATGAACAGAATTATGGTAATGGTAGCTGCAGTCCTCGCAACTAATAGGTGCACTTTCCATACCTACCTGATCCCTTATATTTTGAAATGTATTTTTAAATACTTCATACAAATTAATTGAAATTGAAAGACTTGAGATTTGGGAAGTGGTGTGAAATCCATAGTGATATGTTGGTTAGTAAATTAGTGTTCGAGAAGGAGCGGAGAGCCAAGGAGTAGAGAAATCTATTTGCATCTTCAGTATGCTGATGGTATTGGAACCCATGTGAGGTTATCAACTGACCAAGGGAGGAAGTGTAGATAGAGAATAGAGAGGGGCCAAGGACAGAGTCTTCGGGGATCTCTATGAAAAGAGAGAGAGGAGAGGAGGAGGTACAGTTGTCGGTGACACTGAAGGAGAGCTTAGGTAGGAAAAGAACCAGGAAAGAACATAGTCTTGGAGGCCAAAGGAGTGGAGATTATGAGGAGAGACAGGGTATCCTCTGAGCCAAAGGCAACAGAAAGGTATAATAGTAAGAAGACTGAATAGTGGCCATTGGATTTTGCAGTTAGTAAATTGATAGTGAATTTTAGAAGGGCAGGTTCTTTGGTGTTTTGTGGGCAAAAGCCAGATTGTTATTAGGGAGATAGCAACTCGGATGGTTGTAGACTAGGCATTCTAGGAATTCATAGGTAAACTGAAGCAAAGAGATGTGTCTTAGGTTTGTTCATAAAGGTGGAATTAAGGTGTCCGTTTATGACACACAGAATAGCTGCGATTCAACAGATCTCAGCTATTCTCTGGTCATTCACAGTTTATGACACTCAGGAGATCATGTCAGCCCTTCACTGGAGATCTGTGTTCTCCCTCCAGATTCTCCAGCCCAGAGCTGGAGAATCGGAGGGACCGAAAACTAAGCAGAGATA